CACACACACACACACACATACATATATCACATAGTCAAAGAACTCAAACTGCACGTCTAACATTAGCATATGAACTTCACCAATTTTCTTCCAACTGAAACACTACATGGTCAACAAAAATAATTCATGGATAACTATAATTTGCTGATGATTTAGATAAAATATGGGCACACACATATGCATAAAGAGTGTGATGGGTATTTCATGAATCTAATTGCATAATGTCCAGAATGAATAATATTTGAACTGAACCAAGTCAAAATGATATTCTGCCATATAATTCTCAAACATTAAAATGCTGTACATTCAAGAATTGAAGCATATATATCAACCTGACCAAAATATGAACAAAATTATCAAATGAAAGAGCTAGGAAAAAAGGATGAGAAATAACTGTCATATAATATTCATTAATATCTTACATTACTTTGTTCAAAGAGTTGGAAATGCATAGTTCACAGAACAGCACTCACTGATAGTCCTTACCGCTAAACTAAAAGTTGACTCCCTCCTTCTAGAGGAACTTTCCTCCATAGCCAACAAAATCCTACATGCATTAGAAGACTATTAATAATACTCATCACTATGATTATTATCTCCAAACATAATTATGGCTGAAGCAAAAAATTAAGAAATTCATTTTTTTCCAAAATATATGACACATGAGCAGCAATGATGTCATCCACAATTCAGCCTTATGATTACCTCAATTTCACTAGATAATAAATACCCTAAACAACACACTGCACGACATATGAAAAGAATGTCTATAACTAGATGACAAAGTCAACCATCCAAATCTGTCATAAGTTTTAGGAAAAGAGATATTTATAACCCCAAAAAATACTAGTTACTGATAGCTAAAATTCATGAAAGAGAGAGCAAACATTTTCAGCTGAGGAATTTTGGAGAGAGCAAACATTTTCTCAATGATGCAAAAAACATAAACACAAATTGAAGAGGAAAATTTACATGTGCTGGATGAACATATTGAATGAAATAATGCAGCAATATGAAATCTTAATCTTGCAATCACAGTGTCCAAGGCCATGACCTAGCAAAGGAAAATTATTAATTAAAATATATAATTATATTGCAACTATCCACTTGGAAGTAGCATATCTTGAACTTAAAAAAAAAATGTTTGCCCCCATCTACAAGCATAACTTGGCAATACTTTTAAAGAACAATTATTGACAAAGGTTCTCATCAAGACTCTCCCTGTATCATTAAATTTTCAGTAAGTTCAAACTCTTTATAAGACACAAACCCATAAAAAAGCTCACTGTTTCCAGTCAACCTTAGTTGCTTCATCCAACAAAAATAGAACCAAACTTATCTCTCAGTTGTTCTCCCTGATTGTTTTCATCATATGAAAGCTCCACCCATGATTTAAACTTTCAGAAGTGGGACTAGCTTTTGAGTTCATGTAGAGATGGATTCAGATACTTTTAACAGTCAATGCCTCAATAGTAATGTTTAATTGCATGTATAGATTTGAACCCATGATTCTAATTCAGGTTTTCGATGGATTTTTTTTCCTTGAAAATAATGTTATGAACCTCTTGAAATCCATGGGAAATACTAGCTTGCCGACAATTCACTAGTTCTGTACCATGAACTACAGTATGAAATATAAAAAAAACTTTTAAATAAAGAAAAAAACATATACAGATAAGTAAGCTTGATACTACAATCAACAAGGATGAAGAAATTGTTGAATAAAAGTTGGATAGCAAAAGTGGAAAGCAGTGGCCTGGGATTTTGTGTGATCACCAGCTGCTTTATGGATTCAAGGTTGAATGGTTAAGAAATGGAAATGTAAAGATGGATATATAGGCAATTGATGACCGTACTGAAGCATTTCCAAGCAGTACTTATATGTTCATCGAATGTAATAAATATAATGCTACTACATAAAGATGCCATCAATCAATCATCACTCGTCCAACTACATCCCGTGCCTACAACACCGAATCTCAAGTTTCCTATCATATTCAAAGAAAAAAAAGAGAACATCTAGAAAAAGGAAACAAAGAAACAAACGCGTCGACTTAATTCAATTCACGACTAAGTTCCACTACCATTGTGTAAGATATATATATTTAAAAAATGCCCTTAAATTACGCCCCGAAAAACCAAATTCCTTAATATGTTGAACGAAGAAAATCGCCCATGCTCCGAGATCATAAGATTTCTCGTTTTCTCGCCCAATTGGTTCCATAATTTCCTCATGCACAGATTCCTAGCATCGATCACGAGACTTCCAAAAACCCTAATTGGGACAAAGAGCACTCCAACTGAGAATATTTACCTGGCCAGCGGCGATCGCTGCGGACGAGACGGGGAGAGCGAAGCCCGTGAGACGAGGAGATTCCAAACTCCGTTCAATAGGACGTTCCAAGGGATTTTCTGCGTGGGGAAGAGAGGGTCCTTTTAATATGCCCTTTTTCAACTTACCCAACGCCAACCAGCACGTGTCACTCATTTCCTTGAATCAACGCGCAGGTAGACAGTTGGTAGTCCACGAATGTGTAGTAGAAGTATATTCTTTACTTTATGAATAAGTAACCCGACCGGGCCGCCGGTCAACTGTCGGGGTCGGCTGGTGGGCACCCGGTTCAAATAGTTGAACGGCTGATTAGGAAATCAAACCGGCCCATCAAACCGCGGCGAAGTCTTGAGCCGAGTACAATATTACCTTTATTAAGGATCGCAGCGGAATAGTTTTTTCCGATTAAAAAAAATTCATTATTAGATTTAAAAATTAATAGGACCATTTCTTAGAAAGGAACTTTTCTTGAGCTTTTCGGAAGATACCAGATTTCCCTATCAATGATCCTTTCTTTGTCTAATTCTATCTTTAATTTAACATTTAATCACCTATCTATTTTTTTTTCTTTTTCTATGGGTCGGTCCATAACATGAACTGATTAATTGAATCAGATTGATTCTTAGTTACAATATGTTTTCTTACTGTATTATACTATTTTAACTTAGTAAAAAAATCAAATTGATTCATATACTTGTTATAGAAATCATAGGTAATTTTCTAATATTTTTACATAATGACACATAAACAAAGTTCATAAATATTTTTCTATCGTTTTTTCAGTTCATTTCTTATTGATACGGAATTTTATAATAGAGATATAATGCTTTTGAAAATTTACCAAAAAACAATGGAGCAAATATAGAAGTTAAATTATCAGAATATTTGTTTTCTTAAATGAAGAACCATACCTATTTGAAACTCGAGCAAGTTTTATAAGTATATTCTTAATATATTTTGAATCCATCAACATTCAAATAATTTGACTTGTATGTGTACAATATTTTTCAACATAATTATAATGATGTTGCTAAAATAAATTAGTCATAATATTTTGTATTGAGTTGAGTTATAATATTTTTAGCAATATCAAGAACATATTATAAAATAATATAAAAATACTTTAACTAAGATCCAATCAAATATCTTTTAAAAAAACCTTTAAAAAAAATCTCATAAAATTATTAAATTTTTTCACAAAGAATAAGTCCAAAATGAGTTTACTTCGTCAGAATCTATAGAATGATATGAATTTATATCTTTTTCCTCCGTCTAAGAAAAACTTTGATGCATATACACTTTATCTTGACTGATGGAGGGAATAAGGCAACTCAACTTACAGAAACAAAATTATAGTTAAAAAGCCTTGGCACGAAACAAAAAGATATGAAAGTGACTACTCTCGAAGAAAATACTATAGTGCTATCATTCAAATAGTAGATAGTTATGCATAATAAAGATTATGCAAGGGGCAAAAGCATATGATCCAAACAATGACACACCATTTTTAAATAAAGTCAATAGACTTGAAGAGCTACTATGTGAAAAACTATCCTAGAGATATATTTCATCTATATGTGACACGAGAGCGAATGAACGAAGATTGATTACAAAAGAACGAATACAATAAGAGGTAACGAAGACCTTACAATATGATGGCAAAGGACACACATAGGGAGATTATAGTTTAAGTTTATTCTACAAAGATCAAAATGTAATAAAAATATTACCAAGAGATAACATGGTATAATGAATTATGGCAGAAATAATTCGAGATAATACGATACACACGAGAGAAATCCTATAAGTAACTTAACTATACGAAGGTATAATTGAAAACTACTAGAAGCTCCACTTTGATAAACAACATGATAATAAAAATGAATATGAATTCAAAGAGTAAATATCATGATACTATAAAGGCAAATCTTCTGTACATGCATCGAATTTTATATTTGATTAAAACCTTGATCATTAGTATACGAGAGTTATATACTTCCAAGAGAGATTCCAAGTATAAGTATCAATGACTCATAAGAGAGACTTCATCATACAAAACCCGATAAAGTATATGTATCAATGACTCATAAGAACGATTAGAGAGTTCGACTACTCTAAAATTTATATTCGCTTAAGGAAACCCGACAAATCGAAAAACAAGATGAACAAACAAACTTTGCTATCAAAATTAAACGAGAGATCCCTCTTATCAATAAGAAAAAAAAATGGAGAGATTTGGCGCCACAATATCCACATCAAACAAGATGAACAGAAGACAGCAAAAATACCAAAAGAGCGTATACGCCATCAATAATCTCTTACACACACAACGAGAAGACACGTTTATCACTTCTATCATTTGTCTCCGCAAGAACATCTCAATGGTTAGTATATTGTTGGACAAATAAAAGATCTCAGGCATATACTATTAAATATGATAAAATTTTCTCACTTCCATTGTCATTGAGTTAAGAAATCTGCAACAACATCCAATGGTTAGTACACTGTGACACAAAGTAATATCTCAGGTTAAATCCACATGCAATCATCTTATACACTATTAAATGTAACAAAAATTTCTCGCTTCCATTGTCATAGAGTAAAGAAATTATATAGCAAGTAAACAATAGACATGGGCAGGTAAACTCCTGACAAACCCAGAAGCAAGTATGAGGAAGTCTTAGCATCAATTTGAACCACTGTTGCAATGACATGATGAAAAATGGAGAATTTGGTTACAAAGCTAATAATCATGGATTGCAATAATGACAAGTAGCCCATGGACAATCGCCAAAATGATTACAAAACTAACAATCATGGTTTGCCCCTTATATAAGCTGCAAGCATCAAAATAAGTAACATAAAAAAAAAGGTGTTCTTGGGGTGCCAAAAAGCTCGACAATAGTCATCGAGATGCCATCAAGTTTAATAAGAATATAACCATAAGAGAAGATTGATCACTTAGCTTTTTTTCTGCTGCCTCATGTACTTGAACATGTATGATGGATTTCAATTAAACTATAATGCTTGTGTCTCCAATTCAATGTGCTGGGTCTGTTGGGGAGGAGTCTCAGGGACTTCTGAATTACGGTTGCTCATTTCCTGCACAGGTGGTGGGTTGACAACGGTCATCGGCATTACAAGATTATCAGATAACCGACCCTTCATTTCCCGGTGCTCCTGGCAGATGGCACACCAGTGCATGCAGCAATGGGCCATGCAAGGGTCACATGGGGAGTTCTGGAACCACAACAATCCAACATTATAATAACCAAGATCAAATCTAATGACAATCTCAGAAGAGATGACAGCTACACGTGTATTCAATGTAACCAGTGTAGAAAATACATGAGCACATGTATAACACATACCATTCTGGTAATAAAAATGCCCAACAATGCAAGTTCATGATAACAAGCACTTAAATTGTTAAAAAAATTTCTAATTGTTGGATACAAGCAATTTCTAATTTTTCATGGGACATGTTCAATTTTGCTGATAGAATGTGTCCAGAAGGTAAGTCATGATCTAGGAAAATTGTGAAAAAATTATGAAGTTGCACCTGAGAGAAAATTTCCTGTGCGGAAAATTACTGGGTAATGGATTAACCATTAATTAGTAAAATTATTGTAGATGTTCAAGTGAAACAAGAACAGTTTCTATTTAAGATGTTTCTATGATACTCGTACAGCACAAAAGATATATCATTTCAAACTGAAAATCGATTAATTGACTATCTTTCTCTTGAATCTGATTTTTTGAGTTTAAGAATTTACTACAACTATATCCAAGACACAATCGTACAATTGTCTAACTCTGATTAATTAAAGTATGAAGTAGATGCGTCAAAGGGCCTTTGCATAAAGCTGTCTGAATTAAAGATAGTCCGCATAATGCAAGAACATTTTCTATATAAAAGCAGTCGTGTAGTATAGTCCTAAAAACAACCCTGAAAGTTCAAGTAATCTTGAATATTCACCTTTATTGTATTCATAAAGGTGATTTTAGCAGACTGCATGTTCTAAACAATTGTTTATAGAGGAGCCAATGTCCATATAATATAGCAAAATTAATACAGCATACTTTGCTAGTACAATAAACAAGATAGCAACCATCAAAAAGAAATCCATGTGTTCAAAAAAATTTCCTTAACAAGAACATGTGCAAACACATGGAACAAAAAAAAAAGGTCGAACAGCATTCATATGTAAATTACTTTTTGCATCTCTGCAGTGCTTACTAAATGAATTTCCTACTGTTCCCAGTAAGAGCAGGTGGAACTTCTGTTACAACAAAGTTCATATTGGCAAATAGCACAGTCAGCAGAGAAAAAAGAAGAAAAAGCAATTCACCTTGAGATGATATTTCTTTTGTAGTGATTGCCTAAATATACCAGTGTAGATACCACACATCCACCAAGCAAAGACTAATCCTTCTCCAATCAAAAACGATGTTCTTGGGTCAATACCATGGAATACTGCTGTAGCAACTGCAAGTGCTACACCACCTTCCACACAGAGAGCATGACAAATACAAGGAGTTGTCCATGGTGTATCTTCTCTAAGCCTCTCCACATTGCGCCCAAACAACACACAAGGACAGAACAAACCAGTCCAACCTATAATCCAAAAAGGTCATTATTTAAATTGTCAAAAACATACGATTAAATTACAGGACTCGTAGAAAAATCAGTGTCATTGTAAATCTCTTGAAGAGAATCATGGAATAAGATGCATATCAACATATAAGATTACAGCAAATGCAAGTGGTCTTTGACAAAGCTGATAACAAAGTACCAAAGAAACTTTACTATACATCCATCTAAAAATACAACTAGTCTACAAATGAGTATTCTTCATGGAGTATCCGTTCAGTTTCCTTCTTGATAGATGTATTATCATTTTGTCAAGAATTATGTCGCATGTCTTCTTCTTATAAACATCCCCGTCAGAAATGGATGTATTACACTTATCATAACCAGATGAGGGAGAGAGATTTGAATACTGGTTGTGTCTGCTAGCTTCAGAATGAATGGTAAGATTCAATTTCATAGGCCACTGAGAGGGCAATAATCTGCCGACACTCGGTCCCAACACTAACGATTGTTATGATGGCATATTTTCTAATCAGATTCATGGCATTTCCAGCTTTTCCAGACACCTCTTCAATGACACAGACAAGAATTTCATGGTTGTGCCCACTGAAGCAGACAAGGTGGCAAACAATGTCTTGTTTCTTCTAGCATCTACTTATATAATCAACACTTACCCACCTTGTGATGTTCATTGAGTGCAACTCCTGTACAGCACGTAATGTTAATCAAGTGCATATACCAGAAGGCATAATCATATAGAGACAAAATACCACATCCCAAATGCAATACTTGAGAAAATTCATTGCTTCATTTTTGGCTTAGACAAACACAAAGTGGTTTTCAAGGGAATAAACTGCAAGGAGAATATGAACCCATAAAAGAGAAAGTCTCATGAGTACTTACTTTTTACCTCAAAAACACCAAGATGTATCAATGAACCAAGAACAAGATTTGTAAAGTGTAAACATTGTTTCATCTATCAGCATGACCTGATTTCAAGGTCACAACTAAGAGATTTACCAGTATATAGTTTTGCTTTCCATAAGACAGGAAGATCAGCCATTAGGGTCACACATAACTTAATCTCTGTAGCTTAATAAATTATAGCTTTCACATTTTTAAACTTCTAACAACCATATATGTGATAGTTCAAAAGGTTTAGTCATATGCTTAATTCCATTATGCAATGCTTTAATCAAATTAATTCAAGGTCTGGATTCCTAGCCATCTAAAGATTTTTCTCAATTTTTCTGTTCATTAAAATTTAAACTTTAAAGATTGACACCACAGTGATCAGATAGCAAAAAAAAATTAAAGAATGTAATATAAGGATGCAGCAGAAGCTTTAAGTTTTGATTTAATTAGCATGTCTCAAAGAAGAAGAGCATTTAAAGTGAAGAGATTGCCGCAAATCTCAGTTATGCCAATATAAAGCTGTCTTACCTCAAATCAACCAGCGTCTAAAATGGTTGTGTTATGTAATTCATCATGATGGAAGCCTAAACGTACAAGTTTGATGACCCAAGAGACTCAACAGTCTTCTTTCTCATATCTAACTATAACAATTGGAGGGGATTCAGAATGGAAAAGTGAAAATTTTAACAAGCATAGATTCCTTGGTCTCTGAGTATCGTCACAATTAAATCGTTTGATAGACAGCACATAATACCTTGCGATCAGGTCACTCGACAAGGCTAAGAATAGAGCATGTAGGTGACCCAGTGCATACCCTTTTCAATTGATGTGCCAGCATGGTCAAGCAACACGGTTTCATAGTATCTTGGAGGGAAAATGTGCCCAAAGCCCGTAACAATAGGTAGACAAAATTACTCCTTAAGGACTGTGATAATTTTTTCTCAAGAACAGTGAGCTTGTACACATCAGATTCCATCAATCCTCGCTGGTTCTGATTGTTATTACGATAACTTGATAAACATAAACTTGCTGAGCATGTAGTCTAGGTGTCCACATATTCCAACACAACCTAGCTAACTTATACTTTCTTGTCTCTTCGTAAAGCTGCCACTATCAATAGAATCGCTGACATTCTCATCACTATTGGCTGAGCCATCTAGCACCATCTAACATAGTATTTATTACATAGCTGAAAATGGATATTCATCCAACATGCTAGCCATCAAGCAGTTCTTATTAAGTAATTAAGTCATACAATTAGGCATGCATTGAGCAGCCAAGCCAACGAAGGTCTCTAGTCAATTTTCTTGGTCATAATGTCAAATATGACCAAGAAAATAGTAAGATGTGGAAAAGTAACAGTAAACTCAATGGTTAGCACCAGTCTAAACTTTGAAAAGCTTCTAAACGTTCTGTTACGCCAATATATCTTCTATATGGAGCACGTAGGAAGACAGATCTTACAGCTCTCAGGGTCCTCAGAACAACCACAGATTCCAGTGGTCCAAGCTTCATCACCAGGTGGTTGATAGCTTTCCGGCAGGGGTTGCCCGCACTCGGCGCATCTACGAACCTCCAACTGATGCATCAAAGGCCGGCATCAGTACACAGTGCAAATCTTTCCAAAATCAAGTTAGACTCCGTCCATGTGTGGTATCCAAAAACGACGGAGATCAGATTTTTAACAGAAGCAACCGCTCTTAAGCATATAAGAATTCTTCGTTAAAACCCTAACCTGGGGAACATGAACTGGCTGATTGAGCTCCCCAGGGCGGATCTCCTCCAACGGCGCATCCTGCTCCTTGGTGAGCTTCACGTACCTCGACGGCACCGGCTCCTCCGACATCATCTTCGACCCAGCAGCGACCAGAACACGATCCGAGGAGGAAGAAAAGAAAAGAAGTTACCAATTCCGTAGCAAAGGCGACTAGGCGAACTAGATCTCGAGTTCTAGGTGATCAGATCTCCAGGAATCGACGAGAGCGGATTAAGATCGGAAGCGAGGAGACCCTAACGGAGATGAGATCTGGAAAGGGAGGGGAAGTGGTTCATACTCCGACTGGGTGGGACGTGCAGTGCACCGAAATGAAACGAGAATAAGTTGCGACGGCGTCGCTTTGGGTCATTTATTAGTCTTCACGCCCGGTATTTAGGAGTCGGTTTATGCGGGCGGGTCATCATGTTGGTCGTTACCGATCGGGTTTCGTTTTAGATCAATAATTTTGACTTCCCCGTATTTAGTCAACAAAAAAAAAAGCTGATAATAAATAAGAGTAATTTATCCCCAAATACCCACAAAGTGATTGTTGCAATTTAGAATTTATTCAGGTTTTTTATAAATAGATATATATATAGGTGTTTTTTTTAGAAAATATCAATATTCTAGGTATTTTTCAATCAATATCTTTATTTTATTTTTTAAAATAATACCATATATATATATATATATATATATATATATACATATTATCTTTCATAATTTTTTTTTGCTTGTTATAGTATTTTTGATCAGTTACAATGTTTTGGCCATCATAACAAATATACTATGAAATTTATTTAAAAATGTTATAAATAATCTAAATAGACTTCTAACCTCAACTAAAACTAACTATCAACTTAAAAATATAATATTGTAATAATCTATGAACAATGATAATCAAAAAGACATGAAATTATATTATTTATAGTATTTTTTAATAATGTTTATTATTTTTTTAGTATATTAATAAAAATATTATAAATACTATTAAAAAATACTACTAAATGAAAACACTGTGACATTTGAAAACTAATAAAAAGATGAGCAAAAAATTTTGGCTCAAAAACTTTTGAGAGATATTATAGGTATTTTTTAAATCAGAAGTATTGTTTGACGATAAACAAAAGAGTGATATTTTTGAAAAATATTCAAAATATGAATATTTTCTAAAAATCATCATATATATATATATATATATATATAATCTTTTAGATTTATTATATAATATTATATTAAATTAATTTGGGAAGAAAAAGAGTATGAAAGAAATAAGGAGGAGGAGACTCCAAAGAAAAAGAGGTGTAGGAGGGAAGGGAACAAATTGACAAATTTGAACTCACTCACTGATCCAAATCAATTTAATAAGAGGGTAAATTTAAGATTTATAAAAAAAATCGTGAATAAGCTTTTAATAGAGGAGTGTTATCCGGTAAAAACTAATTGGTATGGCCTTTTGTAGCTAAATTGTCTAATGAAACAATCCACTTACGAGATTGATGGGGGATTAAAATGGATGTGTTAGAATTATATTTTCCAAGTGGATCATCTCAAATTTCATATAAATATTATAAAAAATGATATCTATTAATTTGTTGGTAAAGATTTTGGTTGATATATGTCCAGTCATTTATCCTCTATAATAATCTATCATGCATAGATCGGGATGACATTTAAAAAAAAAATTGATCAAATGAGATGTTAATCATTTATCCTTCAAAAATTATAAATATGACAATAAATTTTTGATGATAACACGGTTATAATAAAAAATGATCATGTTTAAATATGATTAATGTTGAGAAAAAGACATTTGACAAAGTGATTTTTTTCTTATCAAATCTATACAACCATATAATTCTTTTATAATCTTTAAATCATAAGTCATCATTTATTATAATTGACATAAGCATCGTTGAACCTCGTATTTTGATGATGAAACCACTGCTATGTGTTTATGATTTAATCTGCGTTTTGAGTGATGTAGGATACTTCGATCAGGATGAGACAATTAAAGCGGGAAAATCATGTTGTGCCGGAGGAACATGTCAGAAGATTGAACGTCAGGCTGGTGGATCGGTTGACGTATCGATAGAAGGCTTCGAGCCATGTATTCGAGCATCGGGCCAAGAAGAGCGGGTATTACGCCAGGATATCGAAGTTGCGGAGTCAACTAACCAATTGGACAATAAACCGCAAGAGAGGACGATACGCCAAAGAATCGGACGAAACGTCGAGGGACCAATGACATGCCGGACAACTTGATTAATTACTTATGAGTAATTGTCTAGATCGAACTTTTGTTTTACATGTGCAGGATTAACTACGATAGCTTGAAGACATAAAGCAAGTCTACTGAAGTCAAGTTCGATGGGTGTTTGAGAGTATGAAGATTTGTCGGAGATGCTGCCGGAACCAACCGAGAAGAAATCGGGGACTTGTCATAGTTTTCGGAAGTCCGCCGAAGAGATCATCGGAGGTTCACGGAGATCACCAAGAAGGCTCAGCTACTCGGAGAACTCGTCACAAGATCGGGAGCTTGTTGGGAGTCCGCTAGAAGAAATCCGAAGGTGTATCGGAATTCCACCGAAAGATCGTCGGAAAGCTCGTTGGAAGGAGACTCGACGTTTGCTGGTTAAAAACTTGCTTAGGACTATGTTTTTAGTTGCGTAGTTTGCATGTAATTAGAGTTAGGATTAAGAGATAATCCTATATCCTAGTTAGGGGCTAATTGGGCCCGATATTACCTAGTTTGGGCCAGATTTGAAGCCCATCTAGTGACCCGTAGGACCGGGCAGTGGCACTGCCTAGCACCCGAGAGGTCCGGCAGTGGCATCGTCGGACTGGGCGGTGGCACCGCCTAGCACCCGAAAGGTTGGGCGGTGGCACCGTTAGCTTCGGGAATCCAAGAGAATTTAAAATTTGGAGCCAAAATTTGAATCCTCTTGGGGCCTATAAATACCCCTCAATTCTCAGCAAAGAATACAACATTTGATAAGTTAGAGATTGAGATAAAGCCTTAGCAAAGTCTTTAGCAAGTTTTATTTTTAATTGCTTGAGTGTTCACCTCCTTCTTTACGACTGAAAATTTGTAAGAGTATGAACCACTTGTAAAAGATTGTAAGATGGGTATTTGTCCTTCCCCTTCAAAATGATTTGCTAGTGGAAGTTGAAAAACTCATCGAAGAAGGCTTCGCAAGTGGATGTAGGTCATTTTGACCGAACCACTTTAAATTGGTGTGTTCCTTGAATGTGTGAGTGTTTACCTTTCTTAAACTGTTATTTACATAGCAGCAATCTTTCGGTTTTTATCTTCTCACCTTACTCGAGCTACTTTCACCAAGTCATTCATTGTCCAATCGAAATCTCTACGCATTTACAAAATCGTTTTCAAACTTACGAAATCACTAATTCACCCCCCCTCTTAGTGCCGCTCCGACCTAACAAGCATAAGAATTCTAAAGTACATATATGAACATAAAGAATCATTTTGATGCTTGTAAAATTAATATAAGATTAAATATATTTATCAATATTTTTAGTAGAGGAGTTTAAGCTCCTAAACTCTGGTTCTAGTGTCAAAATAATAATGAGCTATTGATACTAGTCAAAGATATGATACAATTATCTCATCATATCTAATTTCAAAGTATAATTCGTCGTCTGAATCCTCTTACCCACTTAAATATGATGATCAATAATTGTTTTAAATATGTCATTAGTAATTCTCAAAGGCTTAAACTATTAGGAAAGTATAGCATTATCTACTTTTAACATCACCTCTCCACAAGTCGGTTAGACTTAGATGTGTGAATGTATTGTGTATTTTAATGTGCCTAATTCAATATATTGTGTATTTTAAATTAGAATCGATTGGAATATGCCTAATTCAGAATCAATTAATTCGATTCAATTAATTAGTTAATTAATTTATTATTTTAAATAATTTTAAATATATATATATATATATATATTATTTTGAATGATCCTGTTTAATTTAATTAAGTCAAATTAAAATCTTGATCATAATTGATTAATTAATTTATAATTTTGAATAATTTAAAAATATATTATTGGAATGAACCAGTTCAATTCAATTAAGTCAAATCAAAATCTTAATCAAATTAGATGACACGATAATATTTATAAAACTAAGCATTTAGCTCGATTTGATTAATTGGTTTGAATCAATTAAAGATATACGATAGTGAAATTCAATTATGTTGATATATTTCAAATTAAAATCGATTTCAACCGACTATCCCAATCGTTTAATTCTGATCGAATTGATTTTGTATCTTTTTTTCGATTCAATTTAACACCTAATGGGTTATCCTCCATCAGCTAACTATTATTTAAAATTTATTAAAACTATAAATGATATTAATATTCATTCAAAATTTATATCCCTCGAATAAAAGCGACCTTTGAAATTTACAAACACATTCGAATCAAATTAAATTATTTTTTTTCAATTTGATTAAAGTAAAATAGTCGGAATCAATTCGGGATATAGATAATTAAATTGATTCAAAATTAGTTAATCTGATTCGAGTAACCAATTTATAATTTTAAGTAAATCTAAATATATATATATATATATATATATATATATTAAATGAATTGATTCAGTTCAGTGAATTAAATCGAAATATTGATCTGATTGGACGGCATGAAAATATTTATAAAATTAAACTCATATTATTTATATAATATGATTAATTAATTTGAACGCATTAAAAGCTTAGGCAGTGAATTCAATCGAAGTAATCTTTCAAATTAAAATTGATTTGATTAGATTCGAACCAATTAATTATTATTTAAAATTTATTAAAGTTATAAATGATATTAATATTCTCTAAAACTTTTTTCTTTGAAAGATAAGGGTAAATATGATATTCGATAACTTTGAAAGGAAATATATGTAAAAATACCGCAATAAAAACCCCGAGTATAAGACAGAGAGAAAACGTGGTAAAGTGAAGTGTAACGGGCGAAGAACAGATTACCTCGTGTCGTCGCGCGACCCCCCCGTCGGACATCTCTCGGTCTTCTCCGTCTCCCCCACCCCCATCTTCTCTCCCTCGGCGGCGATCTCCACTTCTCTCGATCTAGTCGCTCGAGATCCAGATCTGATATCCCCAGGTCGGAGGCCCTTTCCTCAGATCCGAGGTCAGATCCCAGCCATAGCCCTAATTTCCGCTGACTTACCCCCCCGCTCCCTTCCCCTCTGATATAGGTTTGTTTTGCGTCGGTTTCGATCTCGCAGGCGCGCGCGTGGCGGCGATGCTGACCAAGTTCGAGACGAAGAGCAACCGGGTGAAGGGCCTGAGCTTCCACAGCAAG